CCATCTTAACATTCTCCAAATCAACCTCCAAAAATGCAAAGCGGCGTCATCTGCCACCATGCAGTTTATGATTGAAAAGGACATTGACATTCTGATCTTTTAAGAACCTTACCTCTATGACAGTTCGGTAGCCCTCCTGGGGAGAGGACACATCCTGACAAAGCGTAACAACAGAAACCAAATCCAATCCAGCTTCCTGATAAGGAACAAACACCTCAACTGCCAGCTGCTCTCTGACAGGTGTACAAACTACGCAACGACAATTAGCGTCTCTACCAATACCGAGACTATTTACATTATCAATGTCTACTGCCTGCCCTCTGAGGGCATCGAGGAACCCCTTCAAGGACTATCTTCCACCTTGGACAATCTCCCAACTGGACCTTACATTGTATGTGGTGACTTCAATGCCAAATCCCCAATTTGGCACAGTCCTATTGAGGACCCCAGAGGCCGTGCTGTCACTGACTTCATGGCCGCTACTGGCACCTATTCCCTCAATACAAGCACCTTACCGACTTTCTCCAGCTCAAACGGGAACAGTTGGATAGACCTCTGTTTGGGCAACCACAAAGCAATGAGATTAATCAGCTACTGCCAAAGCCTCCCTAACGCAACAGCCAGTGACCACGCCTACATCTACATGGAAATAGGTGGTATAAACAGCCAACAAAGCACCCACATTACTAACAGGACCAATTGGGAGGCCTTCGAGGAACTTCTCAAGCTTAAATGGGACCCAACAGATCTGTCCAACATCAATTCCCCTACCGACATAGACCACGCCATCCACAACCTCCAGCATGCGATCAAACAGGCCTACAGCGAGTCTACCACTATCAAAACTAGGAAACTCTCGGTCCCATGGTGGAATCACGACCTAACAAAAAAACGTAAGGAGGTACGCAAGGCCTGGCGACAACTTTATAAAGAGAGGGACCCTTCCAAAAAAAAGGAGAAAAAAGACAGTTACAAGAAAACCGTTAAAGAATATAAAACCTTCATTAATAATTCCAGGAGTAACTCCTGGAAAACTTTCTGTACTAACTCTAATAAATCTGGACCTTGGGAAATTCCTTACTACACGGCGATACGGAAGAAAAAGCCTCTGATACCTCCACCCACAATCCCAACGGACACCGGTTATACCACAAATCTCCAGGACACTTACCAGGCTATCTTCAAGGAACTGTTTCCTACAGACGACCCGCTGTTGGACAACAACAACCACAGCGACATCAGAAACAGGAGCCACTCCACCCCTCATACTGAGGAGGACCAACCCTTCTCCTTCCAAGAAATCAAAAAAGAATTCGACAACATCAAAAGGAAAAAGGCACCGGGCCCAGACATGATTGACTGGCGCATGGCAAAACATGCCTATGCGGCCATCCCTACCACCTTCTCCGTACTGTTCAATAAATGTCTACAACAAAGATACTTCCCGAAGCCTTGGAAAACGGCAACAGTCAAGCTCATCCCAAAAAATGGTGAGGCCCAACCAAATTCTCCTAACGACTACAGACCGATTTCCCTCCTGGCCGTGCTTGGTAAGGTCCTGGACGGTCTAATGGGCGGCAGGATCCTCTACCATTTGGACAGCAAAGGAGCCCTCCACCCTGCCCAATATGGCTTCAGGAAAAACAAGAGTGCACATCAAGCCATCAGTAAGATAACCGACTACATCAACACAGCAAAGCAGGCCGGTAGGCACACCCTTCTGGTAGCTATTGACTTCAAGGGTGCGTTCGACCACGCCTGGTGGCCGACCATCCTCACCTCTCTGGCTGACTCCCACTGTCCCTCAAATGTCTGGGGCCTTCTTCAAAGCTATCTCTCTGAAAGGACGGCCATGGCCACTAACCTGGACAACATAGTCTACACAACACCGATTTCCAGGGGATGTCCCCAAGGGTCCAAATCTGGCCCCTTATTATGGAATGTGCTATACAACGGCCTCCTGCATGTCACAGAAAAGGTGCCTCTAGAGGGAAACCCTTATATCCAAGGCTTCGCTGACGACACGGTGGTCCTCCTCTCACACCAGAACCAGGAAACCCTACAAAAGCTAACCAACGTGGTCCTCCAAGCAGTATATGATTGGAGCGAGAACAACAAACTCCTCATCAACTACAACAAAAGTAACTGCATCTGCTTCCCAAAAGCCAACATCCTTAAGAAAAAACCTACAATCCGGATAAATAGTCATCGAATCAAATGTGTCGACACCATTAAATACCTGGGTATCGTCCTCGACCCTAAGCTAACCTGGAAGCCACACACCCACTATATCTACAATAAAGCAATCAAAGCCAGCCACTCGCTCAGAAGCATCGCACGAAACCTCTGGGGACTAGACAGTAGGACCAGTTCCTTCATCTACAAGGGTGCCATAGAGCCAATGTTAACCTACGGGTGTGAGGTCTGGGGCTACTCAGCCCAAAAGATACACATCAGACGCAAGCTGCTTTCTGCCCAAAGGCAAGCTCTAATTGCAATCACTAAGGCTTATAGAACTGCCCCTACGAACGCCCTCCAAGTGATTGCTGGCCTAACTCCGATCCACCTTCAAATTCTTCAACGGTATGTCAAAAACCTGATAATCAAATATCATGCAAAAGAGCTCTCAACAACGCAGCTCCATAATATAATCAACAGGCTAAACCTGCCAAACGACATCCAGAATCTCATCAGGGACGTGGACGACTATGGTATCGATATAAACAACAGTAACGAACTTACCCACCCATCGGAAACCACAACCATGATCATTCACGACATTCAGGACAGTCCCCCCAAGGGGAAGAACTTCTACACAGACGGTTCCAAAACTGCCAACTCTGTTGGAGCCGCTGTCTACTTCACGGATACCCTCACCCCCAGCCACTGGCAAGCTGTCGCAAGGCTAAGGGACCACTGCTCAATTAACCAAGCAGAATCCCTGGCCATCCTCCGTGCTCTACAACACATAAACAATCATCCCCAAAGGTTTCAACACGGCAAAGTAAACATCATCAGCGACAGCAGGATTGCCTTGTGGCAGGTTAAAAATGAAAACCACAAGCTTCCAATTGTCAACGACAGCCTCAAGATTCTAAAACATTTAAGGGACAACAATATACAAATCTACTTCCACTGGGTCAAGGGCCACTCAGACACTAACGGAAATGATCGGGCTGATGACCTAGCCAAAAAAGCCGCTAACATTACTTCAAAAATCCACTATCAGGCCCTACCACTCACGGCTGTTCTCAGCTCTCTCCGTTCCATTATAATTAACAAATGGCAAAATGAGTGGGACAACAGCACCACGGGTCGCTACACGTACGCCTTCATCCCCAACATCAACCAAAGGCTGAACAATCACGTCTTCCATACCAACCACGGCCTGACCCAGATGCTCACAGCACATGGAAACTTCAGGGCATACCTCAACAGGTTCCACAACAAGGGTAACGCCAAATGCAACTGCGGGATTCCAGAAGACGAAGACCCATTCCACATCATTTTCACTTGTCCGAACTACAACTCTCAGAGGAGACCACTCCGCAATGAAGCAGACTCTGAAAGACTTCTTTGGCCATGCCAACTGAAAGACCTTGTTAACAACAACAAACTCTTCAAAGCCTTCAAGACCTTCGTTTCCAACACCAAATTAAGCATCTACTCCAACATGGCAAGTAACACCAATTAACGGGCCTTTCCCGGCCTACCAAGGCCAGTCTTCATCTCTCTACTCTAATTTCCTCCAGGTAACCCCATATTGTACCATATACCCCCACCCGCCAATTCAAACAGGTGACTGTTGTACTCTCATATTTTGTCGGTCAAATTTGTAAAGCACGAACCTCCTACTGCATGTAATATTGCATTATTGTTTTACTTAAACAAACCGGAGTAAGCGCTCATGAGACCCTCTCCTCTTTTCCCAACTTTCCCCCACCCTCACCCTCACCCCTACTTCCTCCTCTCTTCACCAAGGCAATACCTTTTGGTACGCTTTACTATTCAATCACTGTCACTGTAGATGTTCAATCCAGAAACCAGAGAAAGAAATTGGAAACGAGTTTGGAGAAGCATCAGAAAGAAGAAGAAAAGGTTTCATAAGAAAAAAGAGTAGACCTAAAATTGTGTATAAATATCAGAAACAATTTGAACTAAATATATTTTCTTACAATTATCAACATTGTAATAAATAAGAGTTTTTATCAAAAATTTGTTTCTATTTTGCAAAAAACCTTTACGTGATGGGATGTAACGGAAGTTATTTTTGGAATTTGCGATCTCTAAAACATAATTCAGCAAAAATATTCCATGCAGCTGGAAAAAAAAATTTTTTTGCAGACCTGTGTAATCTGTTGCTTCTTGGTGTAAGCAAAGACCTAAATTAGGTAATTTTATTATATCTAATGANCTTGTTAACTAGTTCAAAAATGTTAGTGATATACAAACTTTTCCCACTGTTAGAGAAGTTATGTCTGTTTTTCAGAATTTTATGTTTTTAGTAAATAGTTTATAATAAGAAGAGATATAACTAAAAATAACCTGGTTTCTTCCTAAGCCATGGCATGCTCCCATTGCAACATTCTCACCACTTTTACAACTAAGTATCTAAGTCATTACTGACAGCAAAAGTATCATACTATGAGACATTTTTATATATATCATGGTATGATACTTGTGCAGAGATCATATGACCCCTCTCACTATCCGGTATTGTGTTTGTGTATATTGTCAGACTTCTGAGAAGGATGTCATAATTGTGACCGGTTATAAGTCAATATATACCTGATATTGGTGTCCAAACTTTTTGATTAGTGGGTTAAATTGAGCATAAGTCATAGATATCATTTATAAGCAATGTGTCAAATATGTTCACAGACTAAATTTGGCCTGGTAGTGTAGTTTGGACACCAATGCTCTAGGTTATGAGAAACATAAATTTATTTTTGTCACATTTTATTTGAACCATAAAAGATTAAAGTTCAGAAATATCCTACCGTTTGATCATAGTTCCACATTTGATTTCCTCCCATGCCATGACACCTTATGAGTTTCACGGGTCCTTTTGATGAAGCAGCATCTAAGCAGTTATCATCAGACATAATCTGTTGCCTCTTGGTGTAAGCAAATACCTAAATTATGTAATTTTATTATATTTAACAATGTTTTTTATTAATGTATAATAATAATAGATGTAACTAAAAATAACCTGGTTTCCTCCCAAGCCATGGCATGCTCCCATTGCAACATTCTCACCACTTTTACGACCATAAGTATCTAAGCAATTCTTAGAATCTGCATTTTTTATCTGAAATTTATAATTAGTAATGCCTCAATATATTACAAGCTCAAAGATTATTACTTGATGGTTCAAAATTCAAATTTAAGAAACAAATTCTTACTTCTCCCAAGTAATGGTAATCAAGTGGCATTTGTGATTCTGGATAAATGTTTTCTAGATACCAGCGGAAACTCTTGCAATGTAAACGTTGTCTCAGAGACTTCCGTGGAGTGACATCTCCTACCACTGCTTGTTTGGCTCCTAAAATGATTTCGTTTAAATTGTATTATAATCAATTAATATATTTTCTTATGATTGTTAAAACACACAACTATTTATCTGAATTCTAACAATGCAAATTTTTTTCTTTTTTTAACAGAAAAATTCAAGCCAGTTTCAATAATAATTGTTTTGAGGGTGATTTAATTTACTTAAAAAATTTTAACATTTCTTTAACAGTAAACTAATTAAACTTTTTGTTATTAACAATTTTACTTATTATTAAATCAATATAAAATATCCAATAAAATTACAATTATTTACATTTGATGAAGAAATACAATAAACCCAAGAATAAAATTTATACGTTTACATACTTTTACATTACTGACTACTTTATAATAGGCATTCAAATTAAATTAAATTGATTTTGTTTGTCCCATGCTGTGACTCCTTATGAGTTTCACGGGTCCTTTTGATGAAGCAGCATCAAAAGGACTGGCTAATCACATGAAAATAGAGATGAAAAATGAATGATGATAAAGATCATTGGTATATTACATAGAAAGATTATTTTAGTTTCATACCATAGAAAAGATCAATAACTCTACTTTAGTAATTAAATACAGTCTAACCCAATTATAACGTCATCCATGGGACTGGCAATTTTTTGATGTTATAACAGTGTTGTTATCTGCTGGGTCATAATTTCAGTCCCATAAAAAGTACCAAGTGTGTTTAAGAATCTATTACAAAATGCTTTCTAATTTAACATCGCATGTATTACCATAAAATTATTTCTTAATGGTAATACAGTATACTGTATCTATTATGGTAATAATAATTTATTATCATATGTATAAAAGTGCAAACTAAATGTTTAAATCAACCTTATTTACATCATTATGTCTACGTTTACATTGATGTAATTAAAAATTTCAAAAATTACCTTTTATAAGAAATTTCTATTTGTCTTAAGTTTCGATAATGATGGCACTTCCGGTTTTGAGAATAATGTCAAAGGTTAAACTAATGTATGCCAATTAAAAAGACAATAATATTCACTTTACAAAGTCAGTTATTTTAGATGTTTTTCACCTAAGAATTTTTTATCAATGTCATTTTCTAAATCATACACTTTATTCATTATTTTCAATGACGTTTTCCGAGACCTGTAAAACATTTTCAATAATCTTATTGCATTATGCACTTCCCTGGTTGAAAGCACTGTCATTTTCTTTGTTTGATGTTTTATCTTCATCATCATCAATTTTTTTCTTCTGAAGATTTAATTTGCTCAACGATTGTTGCATCTGCTTAAAATAACACAAGTAACTATGCAGACTGACTGATCATCATGTTGTTTAATCTGTCCTATGTTGTTCCTGAAAATATCCGTGTTGATCTCACTGACCTGCGTGGGCGATCCCGAATATTTTCGCGTTTACATCAGAACGTTTTTGATACCAGATGTCACTAAGCGTCATAATTTTTATATTAAAATGAACTTATAGAAACAAAAAAAAATTATATTTTAAATTATTGAATACATTTATTTTGTTTGTGAAACATAAAAAAAATAATTTTTTACGATACAGTAAACACGATTATTATTTAAGCCTAAAATTTTTATTTTATTTTTTTTAACGTCAACAAAACTTCAACATCGAATAGGTTAAAGATGTGACCATCGAAGTCAGGTGGTGAGAGTACCACCCACAGTTGTTCTAGGAAATGGACTCTGGCCTTAGAAACTGAACACTTAGTACTGTATTTTCTTTGTTAAATAAAATTCGTAATCTAATTTTTTAAATCTGAGAATGCCTTAAATATGATGTTAAAACAGGGTTTTATGTCATTACAAGTGTGTTCCTTAACATTATCTAGTATAGTAAAATCATGGGTCCGATAAAAATTTGATGTTATTTTAAGGTTGTTGTTACATCCGATGACATTATAATCGGGTTAAACTGTATGTAATTTTCATTTTATAACAACAAGGTGGACTATTTAAAAATGCATATACAATTAAAATAAAGTTTCTGTTTTTATAATATTTTGTATAAGTTTATCATTAATGACAGAGAAAATTATTTTGTAATAATTTGAAGACATAGTTTACCTGGATTTATAGCATAATAAAAATCTTTCCACTCATCTAACCATACTTCAGCAAGACGGGCATTATTGTGATTGACGATGTTGCTAGTACCTCCTGGAAATGTGTATGGAGTGGATTTACGAAAAACATGTCCTACATGAGAACAGGTCACAATTTCCAAAGTACCACCGCACATCCATATCTGAAATATATCATCTAATATTAAAATTCTCATTTATTATGCCATGCAAGATAAAATGATTCAATCTTTAGAATGACTATTCTTTCAGAGGATTTCATTATATAAATGTTCACCAAAGAAACAGCTGTAGCCTTTGCAGTGTGTTCAATAAAGAACAAACTAGATTTTGTCATTCTTTTGAAGATGACATGGAATTATTGGATGCTGTTGTCTTACTATTTAGAGCCAAGTCTGGATTTTATTTCAGGTTTTGGCTCTTTCTGCCCCATAAACAGTAAGAGGACATTTTTTTCCCATACCTGTCATGGGTGCATGACTGCCTCAAAGTCTTTATTAGAAGAAGGGTCTGTGACTGGAAGGGTATCTGACCATAAAATGAAACCAAATTGCAAGAAATGGGAATAATACTGAAGAATTATAATAATTTACTGTTGAACACAAGACTGTGTTATTATTAAAACACTTGGCATTTATCCACTTTATTCAGTTGATATAAACTGAATAAAGTGGATAAACGCCAAGTGTTATAATAATAACACAGTCTTGTGTTCAACAGTAAATAAATACGAAAACACGGTTTCAAAAAACGAAATTATAATAATGTATTTATATGAATAAAAACAATAACGGCAAAAGAGAATTTTATAATAAAATTTTTAGTTTTACACCTGTTACAGTCACTCAAACTTTGTAATGATTTATTGTACTAAATCAATTCAAAGTGCTTTTTTTTTGAAGTGAAAACATTTAAAACTAAACAAATGTTTTCAAGCTATACATCTACCATCACCAATCAACAAAAGAAATGACTAAGAGTATATTGCCTGTATTGAATTTTCTAAGAAGTTTTCACTCCAATAAAAACAGTTGGAATCAGATTTGCTTCAGGAGCTTCCTTAATATTACAAAAATATGCCTTTTGAATGGAATATTTTGAAATTGGCTTATTTTTAATCCATATTCAGATTAATAACAAATAGAAGTAATTAATAGAAAAAAAAGGATAAAAGATCAAGCCAAAACTGGTGTGTTATAATTTGGATTATGAAACATTACTAATTTATTTTTATGTCTTAATTAATAGATTTAGGATAACTTAAAAAATTTAATCTTTAATCTTATATAAATGCATTTCAATGGGCACAGTGCTAGTCAAAATGCATTTGTACAAGATTACAAGGATAATTTGTATGTTGATCTATGGGATGCTGCTATTTGTTACTGTTTAGTTATTAGATTCTTCATTTTAATTCTTAAATTTTTCACAACTTCTACATAAAATTAATTTTTATTTGTATAATTTTGTATCAAAATTATAATTAGTTAAATACTGTATATTGAATACAAGCCAAAATAAAAACTAATAATTTCCATACAAAGTAGCTTCAAAAAGTTCCTGGAATTGGTTCATTACTCAAACGTATGTGTATGATTGACAAATCAAGTTATGTGTCCTTCAAAGGATTGTCCTTTGGCAACCACACACATTTGCAAATGCTGGTATAGCTGCTGAAAACATTCTTGGAAGCAGTCTTGCGACAGTGCATGCAATGCAGATGTCACACTATGTATAACCTGATCCACATTCTTGAAGTGATGTCCTTTGATGGCATCTTTCAATCAGAGAAAGAGGTAAAAATTGCACGAAGCATCTGTAGAGTATGGAGGATACTCCAATATGATCACTCCATGTTTGGTCAGATACTGCTTCACCAGCATGGGCATTGTTATGGAGAAGTACCCATGTGTTGTTTTCCCAATGGCACAGACATTTTCAGCAGATGGCTTCTCTAAGATGACGAAGGATGTCCACATACAACTCCTTGTTGACTGTGTGACCATCAGGTATAAATTCTTAGTAAACAATCCCTGGGAGTGAAAGAAGTTCTCCAACATAACCTTTCCTGTCCTCCTTGAATTTCATGGACTGAGGTGAGGTGGGTGGCTTCCATTCCACAGACTGTCGTTTTGGTTGAGGATTGTACAAGAAACATCAGGTTTTGTCACCCGTGATAGTGTCAAGAAATTCCAGATTCTTATTGGCCAGTTTGATGAGATTTCCACACAATATCTTGCAAGTCTCTTCCTGGTCTGCCATGAGCATTCATGGCACCATGTGTTGGCAAAATGATGCATGTTCAATTGATCATGCAGGATGGAATGACAACTTCCAACCAAAATTCCTGCTGTCTTGGCAATCTGCTCAATTGACTGCCATCTGTCTGAACTCACAATCTCATGTACAACTGACACTTTCTCATCAGACATTAATGTCAACAGACAACTACTTTGCAAATCAGCAGCGATACTTTCTCATCGCACATTAAAGTATTTTTGCCAGTCAAACTTGAGAATGCTTCATGGCAGATTTAACATAGGCATCCTGAAGCATATTCAAGGTCTCAGAGAACTTTTTCCCCAATAACACACAAAATTTGATATTTGCACGTCATTCTTCCACAGACATTTTTGCCAGCTCCATTTGTGACATCTCACTAACACGATCTTCAGTAAATGGTAACTGATGTCATCTTTGCAATGAGTAACAGAGTTGTTTGAACACTTTTCTCTATTCCTGACATGTTTAGCTAAGGCATGCATTACATGTTCCCTTTTTCATTGTCTTTAATTGACTAACCCAGCATAATTCTGGGAACTTTTTGAAGCTACTTTGTAGATGTATATATAACTATTGGTTTTGAAAAATTTAAATAAATAATAATAATAATTTACCCTGAAAGAAAGTTCTAAATTTTCTCCACCCCAGATATCCATTCCTTCGTCATATTTTCCCAATTCTTCAAAATAATCACGATCAATGGAAAACAAACCACCCGCCATGGTCGGAGTTCTATTATATATAATGACAATATAAATTAATTAACAATCATTAATTTCTTAAATGGTCATTTCATATTTCATTAATAAATTTAACAGAATTCATTGTAATATAATATAATATACTTTTAACAGAATCAAACTAAAAATTNTAATTACAGTTTGATTATGAACAGTATTTAATTTTTTGGCTGCATTTGTAGCATTCTCATCACTTAAAAATAAAAAGTATAAAACATGTCTCTTATATTCATCTGTTACTTCCATTTTAACGAAAATAAACAACTAAAATGTTCCCAATTCTGAATAGTATTATATGAATGAGATCCAATTTAACACTTCAGTGTAAAAAGTATCACATTAGACTGGCATTTTTAACAGCAAAACAAGATTTTTCTCAAGGTACTAAAATACGCAGGAACTTATGGACTGACCTGATACTTCAATGTCATTAAACCCTGTTTTGTATAACAAATTTGGACTTTTTGTACATTTTCAACCCACAAAAAAATTTTATCATGCATTGGTGATTTCTGATAGTTTTGGTTTTGGTAACAATTATTTATGAAAATTAACTTTTATTTAATCTATGCTTGTAACATTTTAAATAATGTTTTATGCTTTGTAACACAGTCACTGTAAAAAACAAACTTTCCTACCAATTTTAGATGTTATACATTGTGAGGCCATGCACAAAGATTTAACTCCCATTTGGGGAAAATTTTTAAATTAAATAAAACAGTATATTGTATATAACAACATATTTATTTTGTACCTGTTCAGCTCCCCCTTAGTCTGTTGTACTATATTTTGCTACATAATTAGTGTAAAAATTGTAAACTACATTATGAAAAAACATAACATGCTTTTTTAAAACCCCCTATTAAAAATACTGTGCAAAGGCCTAGTACATTAAAATTACATGATTAAGAGATTCAATTTCATGTTATTTCAAAGTCTAATGCCTATTATACCTATTATATCAATGGTCAACAGTATTTGTTCAGCTTTTGGACATTTAACTTTTGCAAACATTTAAGAATGCATATGTCCAAAAATAAACACATACAAAACCATTGGATTTTTCTTATAAGAGGACATCCAAGATCTGATGTCCTGGATTTCATTGAAATTTTAATATGTTTTAGTATATCTTGCCCATCATCCACAGTAATGCAACTCATGCCAATGAACAGTAGTTTAAAAGAAATCATTCCTTAAACTTTTCTGTATATTATATACTGAGTTCTGTAAATAAATAGAAACAAATAGACATGGCTGAGTAAGTAAGGCATCAGGTTGAAAAGCTCAATGTCACAGTTCAATCCTGTTTTTTCCAAGTTTTTTTTCTGAAGTGTGCAATCCAGAAATTATTGGACTGCAATTTGAAAAATTGTAGACCTATAAATTTCCAATGTTGTCCACCTGTCCATCTTTTGTTAATCTTGAGAACAAAGTTAGATAGATGAAATCCAAGACCAGATATGGAAACCTTAGGGGCAGAAGGCCCCAATTAACTATATGCAAACCGGAAGTCACATTATTTCAATTCAAAACTTTTTCCCTGAAAGTAGTCAATAATTGACTGGCATGACTCCATTGCTAATGGAAAACTATTATGTACAGGGGCAAAGCACTACAGTATTAATTTGAGGTGGAAAGAGAGTATATATTTTAAATTAAATAAATTAAAAATATGATTAAAAATTGCAACCCAGAATTGTGATAATGTTATAATAAATAATTGCTCATTAAAAGATATATTTGGTCCAAAATATTGTTATGTAATTATTAAAATGATTCAATATTTTTAAACCAACAACTGTAAGAAAAGTATTGATTCATTATTCAACGAAAAAATATTTAAAAATTATTTTAAGATTGACATAATAAATTTGTGTGTGTGTTTAATAAAAATTAGCCATCACTCTCAGAGTTGTGTTCACATCTTTTACAAATACTTACGTAATAATTATCAAAAACATAGTACTGTACAATTGACCAACTGGTACTAAGTATATTTGATAAAGCAATACCTTTGCAACAACACATTTTCTGTAACATTGTCAAAAAAAATGCAAAATGTTGTCAGCATTGTTAGATAATTGATCAATATTTTAAAAAATTTTGGCATGTACTATGTATTTTAAATAACTGGAATAAAAGCTGGTGCACTAGCTGAAACTTTATTCACATGGCCATATCTACCCATTGCAATTCATTTACAGAACTCAGTATATAACACAGAAAAATTTAAGCAATGATTTCTCATAAATTACAGTTCATTGCACAAGTTATGTTACAGTGCATTACTGAGACTGAATTCACAAATGCTCCACAACAAATTCACCTCAATAAATAACTTCAAATATTCAAGTGTTAAAAATAACACAAAAAATCTGTCATATAAAATTAGTAATCTAACTCATAAGACGTAGAAAGTAAGTATAAAACATTTAAATTTATTAGCAAGTGAGTAAGTCTATGTTCTGACAAAGTAGAAGGTGAATTTTATTTTCAATATTTAAAAATATTTAAATTCTGATTACTTTGTTAAATTTCCATATATTAAGAAAACTGGAATAAATGAATTTTTACTTAAATTCAGTAATTTATGTCTAATTGACACAGAGTAATTTATAACATTTTCACAATAATTATTTTTAATAACAATCAAATTTTAAAAAATAATAATAATTACCCTTCCATTCTAACATCCAACAATGACCTATTTAGAGCAATTCTATCACTTGCTAAGAGATTAAACTGATTAAGTTTGAATTTTTCATTTTTTAATTTTTCTTCTTCTTTAGAAATAACTACTGGTTTACCACCTTCTCCTGGCCATTTAAGTGGATTGGTTTTTAATTCTAAAATTAAAAAATTTGTAATTAATTGATTATATAAATTTAGAAAGAAAATAAAATAAAATAATATAATAAAAACTAAAACTATTATCAAAGAACTTTCAGAACTTTTGCAAAAGCTTTAATTTTATCATCTGATCTTAATTATATTAATAATAAATAATTTTACATCATCATTATTACTGCCAATTCCAAATTTTATAGATCCCAATATGATAGATTTTGGAAATAATGAATTAAATCACTTGTTCCAAGGCATTTGTCAAAAGTAAAAATATAATATTTGAACCAAACTATAAATATTAGTATGCAGAATATATGTTTGGCAAATATAATTGTGATTTGTTTCCTTCAAACTTATCCCAATAAAGACTATTCATGTCGATACATAACCAAACAATCGCTTTAAATACTATGGCTATAAATCCACTATTTTTAATAATTAATACTAAGTAATTTCTTACTAGAGGTAGACATTAGGTGCCATCTTTTATCTAAATTAATGATTCTAAATTATTTAGTAAATTATAATTATCTGGAAGAAAAGAACTGGTTCAGGTGAGGCTTAAACCTGCAACTTCTGCTTGCTGTGCTTGCTGGGTGGTGCACTTGCCAGTTGCACCACCCAGACCCCAAACAAACTTTTGCTTCCAGATGTATTTAAATTTAGATACAACCCTATGTGGTTAATCACGGCATCACAGTTTAAATACATCTGGAAGCAAAGGCTTGCTTGGGGTCTGCATGGTGCAACTGGCAAGTGCACTGCACAGCAAGTGGTAGTTGCAGGTTCAACCTCCACCCAGACCAGTTCTTTTCTTCCAGATAATTCTAAATTAACTATAATTTAAATAATTTATTAAATATTAACTTAGATAAGTGATGGTACCTAACATCTACCTCTAGTAGCAAATTACTTAGTATTAATTATTAAAAATAGTGGATTTATAGCCTGAATATTTAAGGCAATCATTTGCTATGTATATATATAATTTTTAGCAAATCTCACAAATTAATTCAATGAACACTTTCAATTGTTTGATTTAAATATAGAATGATTAATAAAACAACCCTTACCTGGACTCTTCCACTTTCTAAACTCTCCTCTTGGAGCTTTTGGTGACCTAGTTGTTGTTGGCGAGATTTGGACATTAGAAACTCTTGCACCTTTCTCACAACCAAAACCATTGTTAATGCAATCAGTATAATACATTAATAAGCAAACACCAACCATTAACCAAACTAATGAAGTAGCTAATATTATTTTACAAGTATGTAAACGTATTCTAGTCATTTTTTAAGTTTATAAACAAATTTAGATATAATAATTTCTTTGATGCATGGTTTCAAGATATTAATAAATGAAACATGTTGTATTTATTTCCATATGTCAATAAAACAATCCTTTTTACTTGTATATCTGTGATAAATATATTTTGATTTTGATAATACTGGTTGTATTTTAACATTGCAGAATTGTACTCATGCCAATAGATGAATTTTACTTCCTTGTTATCTGCAAATATAATAATAAAAATTATTACAGACCTAATATAATTATATTAATTTTAAAAATTATTATATATATATAGAAAAAAAGATATATGTATATCACTTCTCTTTTGATAGAACATGGTTGAGCTGTATACATGAGAGTAAGTCAGAAAGTAAGTTTACCTCATTTTCCCTAGGACAGAAAAAGATAAGATATAGCACACTGCTTTGTTTGTACACCATTCCTTTATTTTTTTAAACATACCACCAAATTTATTTAGAGATTTATCATAGTCTATCATTATATTTTTTATAGCTTGGTGATAGAAACTGGCATCTTGCTTGTTTAGCCATTCACAATTTCAACTTTGACAGAGATGCCACTCAGAAATTCCCTACCCTGCAAATATTTTTTCAGTTTTCCAAACAAGTGAGTCTAAGACTGTTAAGTTTGGGCTGCATGGGGGGTGAGAAACACACTGCCAACATCAAAATGTTCAGCTGATGCAGTAAGTTATTGTATGTGTCATAAATTCTACCATAATTATGCAGTAGCTCCACAACTTGGGTAAGCAGGCAAAGTCCCAATGACAAATTGGTAGGCAGTTATTGTCACAGTTGCACCATACTTCATAAAATCAACAAGAACCACATCTTGAAGGTCCAAAAAATTGCTACCATTCATGTTTTCCATTTTTGTCTTTACAAATTAGTACATCTTTCTCTGATGATTGTCTATGATGATACATGATAAAAAGCATCACTTTCAACTACATAGCATTGCACATTTCACATTGAGGTGGTTATTTTATCAAATTCTGTTGCAAAGTGCAACTTTTTGTTGAACAGTTGCATTAGGACCCACCTACTGTACACTTTTTGAAAGCCCAATTATTTGTTGATAATGATTGGGCTTTTTTGGATCATTGAGAGGTTAAGAGATTGAGTGGTTCAGATACCATGCTGAAGTGGTTCAGATACACTTTAGTGTATCTGAACCACTACAGCATGACATATATGTTCTTCCATACAGACATGTCTTAGAAGTAACAAGTTTCATTGTGGAACTATATGTACAAAATGAAAAATTATCAAACCAAAACCTGGATAAAATTCTTTATAATCTGTATTACATTGTTGATCATATGGTACACACAATCACAAAAATGATGATATACAAACACACATTCACCATCAACACTTCTATGTTAGGCACACAATTATTGGCTACGAGATGATGGATGCTATACTCCACCATCTCATAAAGTTTGATTGAGCAATTTCTGGGAAGAGATATTATCAATGGAATGTTGATCTTTCAAAAAAAAAAAAAAAAAAAAAAAAAAAAAAAAATTTTTTTTATTTTTCTAATTTTTTTTTCCCAAAAAAAAATTTAAAATTTTTTAAAATTGACCTTTATTTGAAATAGCTGCTGTTGTGGTTGTTGTATAAAGATGAGAATAAATATTTTACAAGACATTTTATCATAATTAAAATATATAAGAACTTAATATTTAGCATTTTTGTACTTTAGTCTAGCATTCTTTCAACTTCTAAATGTTAAATGGATAGGAAATCCAACAAAATACATTGCAAATTTTTTAACTGTTAAAAACAAAACAGAAATAAAATTTAAACAATAGTACTAACAAATGAAAATGCTCAATGATTTAAATTTTTAAGTTCATTATCAACAAGCTGTTAGACGAATATCAAAGAATTTCCAGTAAAATAAAAAAGTGATACAGTAAATACTGTACCTTGTCATGAAAAAATTAAATAAATACATGCACACATTATAGTTAATATCAGGTAACCAAAAAAGTTCTGTCGTTTTTTGTTGAAAGAAAACAAACATAAAAATGTATAGGAAATAACACAATTTATTCATCAAAATAACCACCCTCACATTCGATAACCTGTTCCCAACGGGAAACAAGCTTATAAATTCCATTTTTATAAAAGTCACGATTTTTAGAGTTGAAAAACTTACCTAATTCCGTTTTTATAACCTCTCTATTTCTAAACTGTCAATTTCGCAGATGATTATCTAGCCTTAAAAACAGGTGATAGTCAGAAGGGCTAATGTCAGGGAAATAAGGAGGGTGCAAAAAAGGTTCCCATCCAAGGGTCTGAATTGTGTCAGAGGTCACACGCGCAACATGATGTCTATAGCATTATTGTGTAGGAAAAGAACGCCTTTATGGTTCACTAAAGCTGGTGGTTTTTTCAAAAGTGATTGGTGAACTCAATGCAGTTGGTCACTGTAGACATTAGCAGTAATAGTCTGGCCAGATGGTATAAGTTCATAGTGAACAATTCCATTTGCAGTCTACCATATGCACAATATTGGCAGGTGCCAATTAATGAAGTATCCATTTACTGAGCTTGTAAACTTTCCCAAGACAATGCAAATGTAAACGGACAGTTTCATCACTTACGGAGAACCTTTGTGCTAACATCTGACAAGTTTGAGCAGAATATTCTTCGATTTCAGCCTGTAATTCAACATTATTCTCATGGCGCATCTTTAAGCGACTCATTGCCGGAAGAAAATTTTGTAAACCATCTTTGGGTGGTGTGAGTGCTAACAGAACCTTGTCCAAAAGCCTGGCATATTTTTTGAGCCATTTGCACAGCACTTGTTCCAAGTTTAAACTCATACAACATACAAGCACAAATTACAGAGTTTGGAGTACTCATCTTCAAGTCAATTTTTATAATATTAAGAGATAACCTTTTTACTTCTCTTTATATAAGGTGAGTCAGCATTAAATCTTGATTAACATATTGCTGGAATTTTAGTGTCATCTATTGTGTATTGCGTGTAACATTCTTTAAACTTTGTAGTTTCACAAAAAACGACAGAACTTGTTTGGTTACCTAATATAAAGCAAAAATATGGCAAATCAAGTAATTCAGACACTTTAAAAATGTTTTAATGGACCCATTGTGTTTGATGCTTCTATATATGTTACTCAAATTTTGCTGCCAGAAATAAAGTTTTTACCTAAACATGTGAACCTAAGAAATAACTCAAGAGTATTCTTGCACATGTAGTTTTATAATGATGAAAGTTATCACTCATAACAACCTAAATATAATTTGTTATATTAGAATGAGTGAAATGAAAGTGAGACTATGTAATTTATTTGCAACCACTAATAGTTGTTTTTTATGTTTCTGTTGCATAATCCATTTTAATCCTCTTCGAGCTACCTTTTTTTCTTAATATGATCTTATTGCTGTTTCATCTGTACTTTTAAACTTGGTGTATAATAGAGAGTTCAATAAAAGATATAGAAAACTTGCAAGAGTTCAATAAAAATGAACTCTGCTGTAGAATTAGAAATAAAAAATTCTTATCAAGTATTCAATTTCTTTTTACATTTCATGTTTTTTTTTCTTTTATGCATCACATTTTGTAAATATATTTTACTTTTTAAACTAAACTTTAATTTTTTTTTTTTTTTATAAAGTCAATAAAAATATTAAATTAAGCATTCTTGAAGTTTAATCTAAGAATTTTCTTAGTTTCGAAATTGTTGTTTATATTTCTAAATGAAACTACTTGCATGGTCTAGGTATTTTTGTTCTTATAATTTCATATACATTACCAATGAGGTTATTTTTACAGTTAGAAGAAAAATATATTATACTAAGTAAAAATTAATTTTAAAATTATAAACATTTTAGAAAAATAATCATCAAAATGATTTAGAGATAATCACACCATAAACAATAATGTTTTATTCAGAATCAAATATTTTTAGTCAATTTGAACCTGGAAACATTAGTCTTTGGAATTAACTTTTGGTTTTGAATAAAACATTAAAGAAATGATCACACTGATTTACTGTTTAGTATGGTGTGATCATTTCTTCGAAGCAGCATTAGTATCAAGAATGCTGCTTTTAGCAGTTAAAATTTCAAAATAATTTAATTTCTTTACTAGAAATTTGCTTTGAATCATGGATATTATTTATTAAAAATGAATGAAAATCATTTGTATTAAAAATTAAGTAAAGGATTATGTACCTCAAAGGAAGTGTGCGATCACCTTTCCTACGATCAACTTCTCTCTGTGGTACTCTATACCAACGAAAATTTAATTTCCAATTAAAACCACCCCATGTCATATCAGATGCAGGAATATATTCAAATGTTTCATCACTGATGACATCAATTATTGGGCAAACAACTCTTGTTCTAAAATATAAAATTTGTTTAGAAAAAAGGAAAAATTTATTCTTTTAATTGAAAATGATAATTCATAAAAACTATTAACCTGTCTTCAGCTATTCTAGCTAATAATGGTTCTAGCCAACCTCGTGTACATTCACAATGAGCATCTAGAAATGTAATTACTTGACCTTTAGTAATTGCTGCTCCTAAAAGTCGAGCTCGTATTAATCCTGATCTTTTTCCTGTTCTTAGTACCTATAAATGAGGAGCAATAATACTAAATATTTTTTCTGTCTTATTTTTTTTATTTTAAAATTTATTTCTTTACACTAATAAAATTAATTACTGTATTTTATGGAATATAAGACAACTTTTTTCAAAAAAAAAAAAAATCTTGCATTTATACAAAATTGTGATTACCCAGAGGCTAATGAATTCTTCAAATGTCCTTCAGTAGGCTTCAGGTAACCTCTAAATATCCAAACTCTTGTATAAAAATGTTATCATTTAATTAAATATATTATTTTTTGCTATAGCTAAGCAACTTTTGTAAGTATTCAAGATAAATATGTTAATGGTAAATTTTAATTGTAAATGACTTTTAAACTCCTCTTTTTTTTCCTGATAAATAAAAGTGTGATAAATTACTATATAGAATATTTCAAAAGTAACTACTATAGTAACTGTATAGAATATTACAAAAGTAACTACTAGTTATGGTGTGATTATTCTGGTTATAAAAGGTAAAACCTTTTATAACCAGAATACAGTAAAAAAAATTTGGGGCTGAATACCAAAAGCAAGGGATGACTTTAATACACTGATTATTTTTTTTCCCTAAATATTCTATGTTAAAATAGGGTTGCATCTTATATGCCATAAAATACAATAATTAAACATCAATTACCTTCACAGGAACTTCCAATTTCGCAACATAATTTTGTAATTTTTCCCCAAGATAATCTTTAAAAAATATATAGTAATTATAAATATTACATTTAAAAATAATTAGTAAAATATTTAATAAATTCTAATTTTCTTACCCCTTTCACTATAATCATCTACTAATATTATTTCTTTTAATAATTCTCGAGAAGAGGTACGGATAACACTGTGGACAGTACGTAAAAGAGTAGACCAAGCTTCGTTATGAAATACAATTACTATACTTGTTGTTGGCAAACTTTCTGGATAAGTTTTAGATTTACATCTGTAATAAATAATATGTTAAGTTAAAATTAGTGTTTAATTATTTTATTAATGTTAAATTTTCTTGTATTAAATATCTAGGATTATTTTTCTTTATATCAGTTTCCATAAACATCAATCATAACAGCTCTAACTTCTAAATGAAAAAATTAAATTTTGCTTTCTGCCTTGTCAGAGATTAATAAATAAATAGACACAAAAATTTCATCTTTTGCACTGATTTTGAGAAATTATATGACTAATTAAACATATTAGACAACAGAAAAAGTGTATAATAATCCAAGATAAAAATTTACAGGCAAACTTTAACTTTCAGCCAATGTCTTCTTTTGTATATAATATCAGGTCAGTCCATAAGTTCGTGCACATTTTTATCTACAAAAAAAGCAACAAAAAATTTTAATTAAATTTTATTTCAATCTATAATGTATTCACCATTATTTTGTACAATTTCTTGCCATCTTGATGGTAGCGTTTTAATCCTCACTTTGTNATTTATTTTGTTTGTGAAACATAAAAAAATAATTTTTTACGATACAGTAAACACGATTATTATTTAAGCCTAAAATTTTTATTTTATTTTTTTTAACGTCAACAAAACTTCAACATCGAATAGGTTAAAGATGTGACCATCGAAGTCAGGTGGTGAGAGTACCACCCACAGTTGTTCTAGGAAATGGACTCTGGCCTTAGAAACTGAACACTTAGTACTGTATTTTCTTTGTTAAATAAAATTCGTAATCTAATTTTTTAAATCTGAGAATGCCTTAAATATGATGTTAAAACAGGGTTTTATGTCATTACAAGTGTGTTCCTTAACATTATCTAGTATAGTAAAATCATGGGTCCGATAAAAATTTGATGTTATTTTAAGGTTGTTGTTACATCCGATGACATTATAATCGGGTTAAACTGTATGTAATTTTCATTTTATAACAACAAGGTGGACTATTTAAAAATGCATATACAATTAAAATAAAGTTTCTGTTTTTATAATATTTTGTATAAGTTTATCATTAATGACAGAGAAAATTATTTTGTAATAATTTGAAGACATAGTTTACCTGGATTTATAGCATAATAAAAATCTTTCCACTCATCTAACCATACTTCAGCAAGACGGGCATTATTGTGATTGACGATGTTGCTAGTACCTCCTGGAAATGTGTATGGAGTGGATTTACGAAAAACATGTCCTACATGAGAACAGGTCACAATTTCCAAAGTACCACCGCACATCCATATCTGAAATATATCATCTAATATTAAAATTCTCATTTATTATGCCATGCAAGATAAAATGATTCAATCTTTAGAATGACTATTCTTTCAGAGGATTTCATTATATAAATGTTCACCAAAGAAACAGCTGTAGCCTTTGCAGTGTGTTCAATAAAGAACAAACTAGATTTTGTCATTCTTTTGAAGATGACATGGAATTATTGGATGCTGTTGTCTTACTATTTAGAGCCAAGTCTGGATTTTATTTCAGGTTTTGGCTCTTTCTGCCCCATAAACAGTAAGAGGACATTTTTTTCCCATACCTGTCATGGGTGCATGACTGCCTCAAAGTCTTTATTAGAAGAAGGGTCTGTGACTGGAAGGGTATCTGACCATAAAATGAAACCAAATTGCAAGAAATGGGAATAATACTGAAGAATTATAATAATTTACTGTTGAACACAAGACTGTGTTATTATTAAAACACTTGGCATTTATCCACTTTATTCAGTTGATATAAACTGAATAAAGTGGATAAACGCCAAGTGTTTTAATAATAACACAGTCTTGTGTTCAACAGTAAATAAATACGAAAACACGGTTTCAAAAAACGAAATTATAATAATGTATTTATATGAATAAAAACAATAACGGCAAAAGAGAATTTTATAATAAAATTTTTAGTTTTACACCTGTTACAGTCACTCAAACTTTGTAATGATTTATTGTACTAAATCAATTCAAAGTGCTTTTTTTTTGAAGTGAAAACATTTAAAACTAAACAAATGTTTTCAAGCTATACATCTACCATCACCAATCAACAAAAGAAATGACTAAGAGTATATTGCCTGTATTGAATTTTCTAAGAAGTTTTCACTCCAATAAAAACAGTTGGAATCAGATTTGCTTCAGGAGCTTCCTTAATATTACAAAAATATGCCTTTTGAATGGAATATTTTGAAATTGGCTTATTTTTAATCCATATTCAGATTAATAACAAATAGAAGTAATTAATAGAAAAAAAAGGATAAAAGATCAAGCCAAAACTGGTGTGTTATAATTTGGATTATGAAACATTACTAATTTATTTTTATGTCTTAATTAATAGATTTAGGATAACTTAAAAAATTTAATCTTTAATCTTATATAAATGCATTTCAATGGGCACAGTGCTAGTCAAAATGCATTTGTACAAGATTACAAGGATAATTTGTATGTTGATCTATGGGATGCTGCTATTTGTTACTGTTTAGTTATTAGATTCTTCATTTTAATTCTTAAATTTTTCACAACTTCTACATAAAATTAATTTTTATTTGTATAATTTTGTATCAAAATTATAATTAGTTAAATACTGTATATTGAATACAAGCCAAAATAAAAACTAATAATTTCCATACAAAGTAGCTTCAAAAAGTTCCTGGAATTGGTTCATTACTCAAACGTATGTGTATGATTGACAAATCAAGTTATGTGTCCTTCAAAGGATTGTCCTTTGGCAACCACACACATTTGCAAATGCTGGTATAGCTGCTGAAAACATTCTTGGAAGCAGTCTTGCGACAGTGCATGCAATGCAGATATCACACTATGTATAACCTGATCCACATTCTTGAAGTGATGTCCTTTGATGGCATCTTTCAATCAGGGAAAGAGGTAAAAATTGCACGAAGCATCTGTAGAGTATGGAGGATACTCCAATATGATCACTCCATGTTTGGTCAGATACTGCTTCACCAGCATGGGCATTGTTATGGAGAAGTACCCATGTGTTGTTTTCCCAATGGCACAGACATTTTCAGCAGATGGCTTCTCTAAGATGACGAAGGATGTCCACATACAACTCCTTGTTGACTGTGTGACCATCAGGTATAAATTCTTAGTAAACAATCCCTGGGAGTGAAAGAAGTTCTCCAACATAACCTTTCCTGTCCTCCTTGAATTTCATGGACTGAGGTGAGGTGGGTGGCTTCCATTCCACAGACTGTCGTTTTGGTTGAGGATTGTACAAGAAACATCAGGTTTTGTCACCCGTGATAGTGTCAAGAAATTCCAGATTCTTATTGGCCAGTTTGATGAGATTTCCACACAATATCTTGCAAGTCTCTTCCTGGTCTGCCATGAGCATTCATGGCACCATGTGTTGGCAAAATGATGCATGTTCAATTGATCATGCAGGATGGAATGACAACTTCCAACCAAAATTCCTGCTGTCTTGGCAATCTGCTCAATTGACTGCCATCTGTCTGAACTCACAATCTCATGTACAACTGACACTTTCTCATCAGACATTAATGTCAACAGACAACTACTTTGCAAATCAGCAGCGATACTTTCTCATCGCACATTAAAGTATTTTTGCCAGTCAAACTTGAGAATGCTTCATGGCAGATTTAACATAGGCATCCTGAAGCATATTCAAGGTCTCAGAGAACTTTTTCCCCAATAACACACAAAATTTGATATTTGCACGTCATTCTTCCACAGACATTTTTGCCAGCTCCATTTGTGACATCTCACTAACACGATCTTCAGTAAATGGTAACTGATGTCATCTTTGCAATGAGTAACAGAGTTGTTTGAACACTTTTCTCTATTCCTGACATGTTTAGCTAAGGCATGCATTACATGTTCCCTTTTTCATTGTCTTTAATTGACTAACCCAGCATAATTCTGGGAACTTTTTGAAGCTACTTTGTAGATGTATATATAACTATTGGTTTTGAAAAATTTAAATAAATAATAATAATAATTTACCCTGAAAGAAAGTTCTAAATTTTCTCCACCCCAGATATCCATTCCTTCGTCATATTTTCCCAATTCTTCAAAATAATCACGATCAATGGAAAACAAACCACCCGCCATGGTCGGAGTTCTATTATATATAATGACAATATAAATTAATTAACAATCATTAATTTCTTAAATGGTCATTTCATATTTCATTAATAAATTTAACAGAATTCATTGTAATATAATATAATATACTTTTAACAGAATCAAACTAAAATTTCATGTAAATTGTATTATTATGTTAGAATATTTTTCATTAATTTTTTAAAGTGGAATTCGTTATTATTTCTGAAAGTTAAATTTTTATATTAAACCAAAGTAAGCTCTGTTATTCTCATTAAACTATATTTGATTCATTTATGATATCTTAAGAGAGTCTAGTGCTTAATATGTATACAAACACTTTCTTAAAAGATTTACAAGTTTCTAAAGATGTTAGCCATAAAAATAGAAAATAACTTAAATGAAGAAATAAATCTATTATAGTTTTATTATTAAAATGAAACAATCTGACATTTGTAATTTATCATCATCAGATGTTAGTTTAAAAAATTATTCAATCTTTCCAATTTTTTTGAATTATTGCAAAGACTAAATATCATATCTTCTATTGTCAAATTCTCATTTTTAAATCTGTAATAAGAAAGCATCTCAAAAATACTAAATATATAATTTTGGTTCAATTTTTCACTGATTTTTAAGTAGATTAAATTATCATCATCAAAAAAAAAAAAAATTCTGTGAAAGAATCGGTAGAACAAAAATCAATAATAGATAGATCATTATCATTTGGAAGTGTGTTACAACACAAATATATGATATTTCTCCTTCTAACTGGGATAGTGTCTCAAAGTTTTCTTGACTCAAATCAAAACCTATTAAAAAATGTTAAAGTTTTATTAGACATAATAATTTATTTCCAGTATACTGGAATCATAGGAAGACGATGACAAATTCACAAGGTTTAACATTTTGAACAAGAATCGTGTAGTAGTATCTAGAATGAAACTGTTACAAATAATTTAAATGTGGTTATGCTAATTGGCGACTTTAATGCCAGAACTGAAGACCCTCAATTTTGGGCAAACTTTGTAATGAGAAACTGATGCCAGTTTGTCAAAAAGAAATGTTCAGGATGTGGTTAACAACCAATAGGAGATATGAACTTTAAAACAACACAACCAGAATTTTCACAAAAGTTTAAAACGGCAGAAGTCCTTTTCCTGATTCAGGTTGTTTACACATAAGTTGATCCTCAAGAAGGTTCTATTATAAATTTGGTTTTAACTCTTCCAATACTGACAAAGAATTAACCTAAGATTTATAGCAACCATTTTCCAACTTATGTTGAACTGGATATAAATCTGGAGAGAGATAGCATGTAAAAAAATAATTTTAATAATGTTAAATGTAAGAGATTATTTGGAGAAAGGATGACAACCACCTCTTAAATTGTGGGTTGGTATATTTAAACAGATTAATAAGTAGTAATATATTGGTTTTTCTTACTAAATATATTAAAGATGAGTATTTTAAAAATAATGTTACTTGATTTGATGTTAATTGTAGTTTACCCATTTTAAAGAGGAATGTGTTTGACTGATTTAGCACCCCAAGATGTGCTAAATCAGTCAATCAGATGATAGATCAATCATTGAAAATTTAAAAAACTTAGAAAAAAGAAGCTGTTTTTGCAACAATTAAATAACAAAATTTCAGAAATAATCTATAAATTTGAAAGATTATAGACCCTTTATTGAAGTCAAGAATACTCCTGTGCTTTGGCTTGACTGATAAACCATTTTCCTACATTTTTTCCAAAGTTTTTAATACTTTCCTCATATGTCAGTATATAATTCTTTTATTAATTGGTACAGGTACTTCATTTATTTAGAAATGAATGATATGGATACTAAATTGACATTGTCATCTATGCAGGATGGGTCAGACCCATTTAAATGGTTTATGTAATTATAAAACTTTAGGTACATAAATCAGTTAGCAATTATTTAACTTTGTTGTTATATTCAGTAAGATCTTTAGAGATGGTATTTTCCCTCCTGAATGAAAAATTTGCAAAATTTTTCTAACTTAAAAAAAATGGAAATATGAAGACTCGTTCATAGGAAATAGTAGTAGTGTTTTCTTACAAAAAAGTTTTTAAAAATATGGAACAAAAACTCCAAAAATAACTATTGAGTTTAAGTTATCATAAGTTAATGGTATATGTCATGAAACATCAGAATGAGAAATAAATATTGGTGATATGACAATGTTATTCTGAATATATGGGCCAATGCCAACTACAAATTAAAAAACACTACAGTCTTTTTCAGAAACATGTATCATGTTTTATTTCTACGTACTTTTGGATAAAATTTTCATAACATAAATTTCTGCAGGACAATCTTGTCCACATCTGTCTTGAGATCCATTTACTTTAGAAATTATCAATCTATTTTTGACTACTGCTTGCCTGTCCCTTCCCTTTAAATAAGGTCAATAAAGAAATTCACAAGATATATTTTCTTCTAAATAAATTTAGCAGTCTTCTGGTTACCAATAACTATGAAGTTGCTAGAATATGACTGATCCTACAAAACAAATAAAACAAAGGATATGGTCAAAATATTGTAAATATTTTAATAGTATAATAAATATCTTTTGGCTTTGTTTGAGAGTTCCCAACAGAAGAACCTGTAATAATTTTTGCATTTACACTCCATTTTATCATCTATTCACTCCCAAAGATTACTATTTTACTGGATTGCCAATGACTTGAAACAAATGTAACATTTATTACATATTGATTTTACTATATTTAAAAGTAAATGTAAACGTGTACTACACATAAATTAATAAACAACATGGTTAGCTGTATTATTTTAAACATATTAATAATTTTCATTGTTTACTCTTCTTTTTTTTTAAAAATTTTAAATTTATTTACTTGTAAAATTTTAATTTATTTAAATGTGTATTTTCTTTATTTTTAAAAGAATAATGATAAGTACATTTTATTTGTATTCTTTTGTAAATATTGTGTTTTTTAGTTTTGTTTTTAATGCAGGTATAAATGTTGAACGGGGATGGAAATCAATTATCAACTGACATTTCCATTTGTTTGTAAAATAAATAAATGAATATTTCATAAAGTACAACCAGGACATACATAATTGACAATTTAAAGTTATCAACTGGTGATCTGATATGGCTAAAGAATACACATAGCTCACTGATAGTTCATTTTTTTTTAGAATCATTAACTTTTTTAAAACCAATCACAACATAAAATTTAAAATTTTTTAAAATTGACCTTTATTTGAAATAGCTGCTGTTGTGGTTGTTGTATAAAGATGAGAATAAATATTGTACAANATAGTATTATATGAATGAGATCCAATTTAACACTTCAGTGTAAAAAGTATCACATTAGACTGGCATTTTTAACAGCAAAACAAGATTTTTCTCAAGGTACTAAAATACGCAGGAACTTATGGACTGACCTGATACTTCAATGTCATTAAACCCTGTTTTGTATAACAAATTTGGACTTTTTGTACATTTTCAACCCACAAAAAAATTTTATCATGCATTGGTGATTTCTGATAGTTTTGGTTTTGGTAACAATTATTTATGAAAATTAACTTTTATTTAATCTATGCTTGTAACATTTTAAATAATGTTTTATGCTTTGTAACACAGTCACTGTAAAAAACAAACTTTCCTACCAATTTTAGATGTTATACATTGTGAGGCCATGCACAAAGATTTAACTCCCATTTGGGGAAAATTTTTAAATTAAATAAAACAGTATATTGTATATAACAACATATTTATTTTGTACCTGTTCAGCTCCCCCTTAGTCTGTTGTACTATATTTTGCTACATAATTAGTGTAAAAATTGTAAACTACATTATGAAAAAACATAACATGCTTTTTTAAAACCCCCTATTAAAAATACTGTGCAAAGGCCTAGTACATTAAAATTACATGATTAAGAGATTCAATTTCATGTTATTTCAAAGTCTAATGCCTATTATACCTATTATATCAATGGTCAACAGTATTTGTTCAGCTTTTGGACATTTAACTTTTGCAAACATTTAAGAATGCATATGTCCAAAAATAAACACATACAAAACCATTGGATTTTTCTTATAAGAGGACATCCAAGATCTGATGTCCTGGATTTCATTGAAATTTTAATATGTTTTAGTATATCTTGCCCATCATCCACAGTAATGCAACTCATGCCAATGAACAGTAGTTTAAAAGAAATCATTCCTTAAACTTTTCTGTATATTATATACTGAGTTCTGTAAATAAATAGAAACAAATAGACATGGCTGAGTAAGTAAGGCATCAGGTTGAAAAGCTCAATGTCACAGTTCAATCCTGTTTTTTCCAAGTTTTTTTTCTGAAGTGTGCAATCCAGAAATTATTGGACTGCAATTTGAAAAATTGTAGACCTATAAATTTCCAATGTTGTCCACCTGTCCATCTTTTGTTAATCTTGAGAACAAAGTTAGATAGATGAAATCCAAGACCAGATATGGAAACCTTAGGGGCAGAAGGCCCCAATTAACTATATGCAAACCGGAAGTCACATTATTTCAATTCAAAACTTTTTCCCTGAAAGTAGTCAATAATTGACTGGCATGACTCCATTGCTAATGGAAAACTATTATGTACAGGGGCAAAGCACTACAGTATTAATTTGAGGTGGAAAGAGAGTATATATTTTAAATTAAATAAATTAAAAATATGATTAAAAATTGCAACCCAGAATTGTGATAATGTTATAATAAATAATTGCTCATTAAAAGATATATTTGGTCCAAAATATTGTTATGTAATTATTAAAATGATTCAATATTTTTAAACCAACAACTGTAAGAAAAGTATTGATTCATTATTCAACGAAAAAATATTTAAAAATTATTTTAAGATTGACATAATAAATTTGTGTGTGTGTTTAATAAAAATTAGCCATCACTCTCAGAGTTGTGTTCACATCTTTTACAAATACTTACGTAATAATTATCAAAAACATAGTACTGTACAATTGACCAACTGGTACTAAGTATATTTGATAAAGCAATACCTTTGCAACAACACATTTTCTGTAACATTGTCAAAAAAAATGCAAAATGTTGTCAGCATTGTTAGATAATTGATCAATATTTTAAAAAATTTTGGCATGTACTATGTATTTTAAATAACTGGAATAAAAGCTGGTGCACTAGCTGAAACTTTATTCACATGGCCATATCTACCCATTGCAATTCATTTACAGAACTCAGTATATAACACAGAAAAATTTAAGCAATGATTTCTCATAAATTACAGTTCATTGCACAAGTTATGTTACAGTGCATTACTGAGACTGAATTCACAAATGCTCCACAACAAATTCACCTCAATAAATAACTTCAAATATTCAAGTGTTAAAAATAACACAAAAAATCTGTCATATAAAATTAGTAATCTAACTCATAAGACGTAGAAAGTAAGTATAAAACATTTAAATTTATTAGCAAGTGAGTAAGTCTATGTTCTGACAAAGTAGAAGGTGAATTTTATTTTCAATATTTAAAAATATTTAAATTCTGATTACTTTGTTAAATTTCCATATATTAAGAAAACTGGAATAAATGAATTTTTACTTAAATTCAGTAATTTATGTCTAATTGACACAGAGTAATTTATAACATTTTCACAATAATTATTTTTAATAACAATCAAATTTTAAAAAATAATAATAATTACCCTTCCATTCTAACATCCAACAATGACCTATTTAGAGCAATTCTATCACTTGCTAAGAGATTAAACTGATTAAGTTTGAATTTTTCATTTTTTAATTTTTCTTCTTCTTTAGAAATAACTACTGGTTTACCACCTTCTCCTGGCCATTTAAGTGGATTGGTTTTTAATTCTAAAATTAAAAAATTTGTAATTAATTGATTATATAAATTTAGAAAGAAAATAAAATAAAATAATATAATAAAAACTAAAACTATTATCAAAGAACTTTCAGAACTTTTGCAAAAGCTTTAATTTTATCATCTGATCTTAATTATATTAATAATAAATAATTTTACATCATCATTATTACTGCCAATTCCAAATTTTATAGATCCCAATATGATAGATTTTGGAAATAATGAATTAAATCACTTGTTCCAAGGCATTTGTCAAAAGTAAAAATATAATATTTGAACCAAACTATAAATATTAGTATGCAGAATATATGTTTGGCAAATATAATTGTGATTTGTTTCCTTCAAACTTATCCCAATAAAGACTATTCATGTCGATACATAACCAAACAATCGCTTTAAATACTATGGCTATAAATCCACTATTTTTAATAATTAATACTAAGTAATTTCTTACTAGAGGTAGACATTAGGTGCCATCTTTTATCTAAATTAATGATTCTAAATTATTTAGTAAATTATAATTATCTGGAAGAAAAGAACTGGTTCAGGTGAGGCTTAAACCTGCAACTTCTGCTTGCTGTGCTTGCTGGGTGGTGCACTTGCCAGTTGCACCACCCAGACCCCAAACAAACTTTTGCTTCCAGATGTATTTAAATTTAGATACAACCCTATGTGGTTAATCACGGCATCACAGTTTAAATACATCTGGAAGCAAAGGCTTGCTTGGGGTCTGCATGGTGCAACTGGCAAGTGCACTGCACAGCAAGTGGTAGTTGCAGGTTCAACCCCCACCCAGACCAGTTCTTTTCTTCCAGATAATTCTAAATTAACTATAATTTAAATAATTTATTAAATATTAACTTAGATAAGTGATGGTACCTAACATCTACCTCTAGTAGCAAATTACTTAGTATTAATTATTAAAAATAGTGGATTTATAGCCTGAATATTTAAGGCAATCATTTGCTATGTATATATATAATTTTTAGCAAATCTCACAAATTAATTCAATGAACACTTTCAATTGTTTGATTTAAATATGGAATGATTAATAAAACAACCCTTACCTGGACTCTTCCACTTTCTAAACTCTCCTCTTGGAGCTTTTGGTGACCTAGTTGTTGTTGGCGAGATTTGGACATTAGAAACTCTTGCACCTTTCTCACAACCAAAACCATTGTTAATGCAATCAGTATAATACATTAATAAGCAAACACCAACCATTAACCAAACTAATGAAGTAGCTAATATTATTTTACAAGTATGTAAACGTATTCTAGTCATTTTTTAAGTTTATAAACAAATTTAGATATAATAATTTCTTTGATGCATGGTTTCAAGATATTAATAAATGAAACATGTTGTATTTATTTCCATATGTCAATAAAACAATCCTTTTTACTTGTATATCTGTGATAAATATATTTTGATTTTGATAATACTGGTTGTATTTTAACATTGCAGAATTGTACTCATGCCAATAGATGAATTTTACTTCCTTGTTATCTGCAAATATAATAATAAAAATTATTACAGACCTAATATAATTATATTAATTTTAAAAATTATTATATATATATAGAAAAAAAGATATATGTATATCACTTCTCTTTTGATAGAACATGGTTGAGCTGTATACATGAGAGTAAGTCAGAAAGTAAGTTTACCTCATTTTCCCTAGGACAGAAAAAGATAAGATATAGCACACTGCTTTGTTTGTACACCATTCCTTTATTTTTTTAAACATACCACCAAATTTATTTAGAGATTTATCATAGTCTATCATTATATTTTTTATAGCTTGGTGATAGAAACTGGCATCTTGCTTGTTTAGCCATTCACAATTTCAACTTTGACAGAGATGCCACTCAGAAATTCCCTACCCTGCAAATATTTTTTCAGTTTTCCAAACAAGTGAGTCTAAGACTGTTAAGTTTGGGCTGCATGGGGGGTGAGAAACACACTGCCAACATCAAAATGTTCAGCTGATGCAGTAAGTTATTGTATGTGTCATAAATTCTACCATAATTATGCAGTAGCTCCACAACTTGGGTAAGCAGGCAAAGTCCCAATGACAAATTGGTAGGCAGTTATTGTCACAGTTGCACCATACTTCATAAAATCAACAAGAACCACATCTTGAAGGTCCAAAAAATTGCTACCATTCATGTTTTCCATTTTTGTCTTTACAAATTAGTACATCTTTCTCTGATGATTGTCTATGATGATACATGATAAAAAGCATCACTTTCAACTACATAGCATTGCACATTTCACATTGAGGTGGTTATTTTATCAAATTCTGTTGCAAAGTGCAACTTTTTGTTGAACAGTTGCATTAGGACCCACCTACTGTACACTTTTTGAAAGCCCAATTATTTGTTGATAATGATTGGGCTTTTTTGGATCATTGAGAGGTTAAGAGATTGAGTGGTTCAGATACCATGCTGAAGTGGTTCAGATACACTTTAGTGTATCTGAACCACTACAGCATGACATATATGTTCTTCCATACAGACATGTCTTAGAAGTAACAAGTTTCATTGTGGAACTATATGTACAAAATGAAAAATTATCAAACCAAAACCTGGATAAAATTCTTTATAATCTGTATTACATTGTTGATCATATGGTACACACAATCACAAAAATGATGATATACAAACACACATTCACCATCAACACTTCTATGTTAGGCACACAATTATTGGCTACGAGATGATGGATGCTATACTCCACCATCTCATAAAGTTTGATTGAGCAATTTCTGGGAAGAGATATTATCAATGGAATGTTGATCTTTCAAAAAAAAAAAAAAAAAACCAATTTATGAAATTATTATTCAAATGTTTTGCTGCTGATTGCTTTTCTTGCATTATGTAAAAATTTTATTAAAGTGGCAATCATTTTTTCACAATGGCAAAAAATTGATGAAATATTTTATTCCAAATTGAGTTGCATTCTCACTGTCTCTTACCCTTTAGGGTTTGTCAGTTTTTAAAACTCTGTTTTGAAAAATCAGTTTTTTGAAGAAATTTATATAATTTGAAAACCAGGTTTTCCCAACTAAAAAAAAACAACCAGTTTTTGAGCCTAGACTTAATTTTTATGTTTAATTATTTGATTAAAAACATCAATATTTTGATACAAAATTGTCTGTGGCATATAACAGGAATATTGTTAAATACGAAGTTTCTCATAAAACTAACTACAAAAACAAAAAAATCCTGCTATACCTAAAAAGCGTCCAATTCTCCCTACAATAGGGAGAAATCTTGCAACAACCGAAAAACAATAGAAAGATTTGTACACTTAAAAGAATGTGTTGTTTTAGCTTTGAATGACATTGGTGCTTCTCACACATGGAATGAAGCAGAGTATTGTAAAATTGTACAGCTGCTTAGAGTTTTAGGACAAATACTTTTAGCAGCTAATGTCTTAGGATGACAAGATGCAAATCTTGTCATCCTAAAATGCTATGGAAAAATCAATACATAAATATCTTCAAGAACCTGAAGAAGTGACTTCGTCTAGCCCTAAGACATCAAAAAAGATTTTAGTATTAGAGGGTACAAACAGAAGAACAAAAAATTTAGATTTATTAATGCTTTATAGACGATTAAACTCAGCTCAGTAGCAAGTGAGAGTTTTTTTTTCTATTTCTGGCAATTTTGTGTGCAAAATAAAGATATGGTTGAGCAATAGAGTTATACACATTCTTTGCATTTTAAAATCATATTTTCTTAAGAAAAATAAGAAATAAAATATTTTGTAAGCATTCATTATTGTTTGTTTTTCTTTATGGTTTTCTATGGAATAAATTTTATAGTTTAATGTGATAATCTAGTATTTTTTTTTTTTTTGTTTTGTGTAGATGTTGGTAAATTTTATTTTGTTATATTTTTGAAATTTTATAAATATTAAATGAATTAAAAAGTTTTAAAATAAGTTGTAAATATCCCTTATCTCTATTTTTGGGAGGGAGCAAAAATTAGAAAAGTTGAGATTTGAAAACCTGTTTTAAAATGTCGGTTTTTGTATAAATCGTATACCCTTGGATGTTTCCTGGTACAAGCTACAGGTATGATCCAACATTCTTCCACTTGACTTACAACTAACATGGCCAAGGTATGAGAGCAGACATGTACTACGGTTCACTTTTCTTTGTTTAGTGGACAAAATTAACAGCAAAATTTAAATCGTTCCTATTTATTGTGGTGTATACTGCTGACAGCAGAATCATCCTCCTAAATGTAAAATGATTAAATTTTTCATTATAATTTCTCTTTCTAGGCAAGCTCCTGTTAGAGTTAAAAACTGTCCTTGTTTTTTTTTTCTTTTTTTAACTTTCATAACACTATATGATACTTCAAACCTTAGATTAGATGAGGCGGACTCAAAAGCTAGGAAAGGATGATTTTGGAATGTAAAGGCTGAGAAATAAATAAAAAAAAATTTGTGAAACGCAGTTCAAACATGCTCAACAAAGAATAAATTATAAATTTATGATCATTTATACATTTGCTGAGAGAAAATTTTTTAAATTACTAACATTTTCAGCCTACTCCTATAGGCCATCATTAGGTTTCTTAAAACCTTAAATCTGTGAAAATGTTGTCAACAAAACTTGCAGCACTTTTAAGTATTTATTCAATCTGCATTCTTTCTATCACAATAATAAGTTTGTAATATTAGCTTTTCCTGCTAAATAGATTATTATTAGTAAAAAACAGAATACAGAGTAATAGTACTGTACATTATACTGTACATCAGGGGGTCACCAAAGTGCTCAATATCAACTCTTGGGGGACAATATAACATTATTGAGAATTGATCGAAAAATTGAAACTAAAAATCACAAATATAACTATATATATTATTATGTTTTTGAATATTGTTTGAATGAATTTAATAGTTCAGCTACCTATCAACATGTAAAATGGCTAAAGATCTAGTTGCACAGGACAGACGAAAATTGCAGAGTCCATGCTCTGGTTTTTACTTACATAGTACATGTCAAGCATCCGCAGCAGCATTGATAAGCTTGTGTCTGATTCACAGTATGCTGACGTTATTAGCACCTCTACAGTCATTTTCAGCTGCTGCTTGTTTCATTTTAGTATTTCACATATATACAATAAATGTAAAAAATGTAAAATTAAAAGGAATGTATTAAAATAGTAAGATATTTTTTTGCTCGTAACACAAACTTTTTGGTGGGGTCATGTGAGGTTTCAAAAAGTTGTAGGGGTCGACAATCAAAAAAGTTTGGCAACTCCTGCTATACATAATAATTATTATATAAATACAAGCTCAAATACAGCCAAATTTTAGCAAGACATTAAATATATAACCAAAACACCAGATTTAGTCCCAAAAGCAATGAATTAGTAATTGTATATTTTTTCTCTTTGCCCTGTGGATACTAAAACGATCCCCATTGTGGGTTCAGCAAGGCTCACAATGGGTCAGTTGAGTGGCAAGGGATGGAGCTTGACAAATCCAGACGGACCACACTCTTGAAAAATTCCTGAAATTTTGTGACCCATCTGAATTCATTCCTTCCCAGAATGNATTTCACATATATACAATAAATGTAAAAAATGTAAAATTAAAAGGAATGTATTAAAATAGTAAGATATTTTTTTGCTCGTAACACAAACTTTTTGGTGGGGTCATGTGAGGTTTCAAAAAGTTGTAGGGGTCGACAATCAAAAAAGTTTGGCAACTCCTGCTATACATAATAATTATTATATAAATACAAGCTCAAATACAGCCAAATTTTAGCAAGACATTAAATATATAACCAAAACACCAGATTTAGTCCCAAAAGCAATGAATTAGTAATTGTATATTTTTTCTCTTTGCCCTGTGGATACTAAAACGATCCCCATTGTGGGTTCAGCAAGGCTCACAATGGGTCAGTTGAGTGGCAAGGGATGGAGCTTGACAAATCCAGACAGACCACACTCTTGAAAAATTCCTGAAATTTTGTGACCCATCTGAATTCATTCCTTCCCAGAATGGTAGGCCATTCAACAGTCATTGACCATAGTTATACTATCATCAATGTGGTAGTGGCTGTAGCATTGAGCAATGGTTAGACTAATTTTGGTCTGTTATTTCATTGAGTATTTTAATTTTACTTGTTACAGGCCTACATATAATAAAATGACAGTACTTCTGATAACTGTAGCAATAAAATTTTTAAAAAGTCAGGAGTTTGTTTTTAATTGAATAAGTTTATTGAAGTAATTGAAGTTATTGAGAAAGAACTTGATATTGACAGATTTTTCATAATTGCTTTCTTACGCCAATGAGTAGAATAACTTGTACATCTACCATAAGACAAAAATTTGTACTATGAAAATTTAAAAAAGCAAAGTTAATCAGAAATTTAAAGCTTCTATTGAAATTCTCATGCATACAAGAATTTCTTTATATCTGTCAAAATTGAACTCAAAGAAAATGTTAATAATACCAAATTATCTGTCAGATTTTTATTG